ACATAGGTAGTATGGCTATCACTGCCCCTACATAGGTAGTATGGCTATCACTGCCCCTACATAGTTAGCATGGCTATCACTGCCCCTACAGAGTTAGGGACTCGTTTCCCACTGGGATCAGCTTCATAGTCATGATAGGATACTTCTTTGATTTGATTTATTTTGCTAAGGCGACTCGTAAGCCCACAGCCTGCTAAATTTTAAAAGTGCAATGTTATTGCCACTACTGTTATTATATAGTAGAAATTTTACACATTCAGTAATAGAATGTTATGGGGGGGGTCATTTAAGAAAGGGGTGGGATGAAAAATAAGTAAAAAAAAAAAAAAAAACTGAAACTCATGTTCCTCTAAAACTCTCGGACACTAACCTATAAGTTCTCTAGTGTCTCCGTGGCAGACCTTAGTGGCTGTGTGACAGAGTTTAAGTGAACATGATACAGACATTTAATATCCCCACTGGGACAAATTACAGATTTGTGTCTAGATCCGTTCTCCCTCTACTCTTGTTTTAGTCTTATTCACACATAAAGTAAAGGAAATGGAGCAAAACAAATTCCCAAGTATATGAGCAGAAATTACTCATTTTCAGCCACAGGAGATCATTAATTAATGATGGTGATCTGAAAGTTAATTAGTCCTACACAACAAAAAGCCTGCATGTCTTCTAGTTTGTTCAGTCTAATCAGGAATGGGCGCAGTGTTATTACTTTAGTGTCATCATCATGTAGTAAAACATGTCTGTGTGTGTTAGACGGGGTATTGTTTCCAAAATGGCGGGTAACCGGAGGCGTTCAACATGGTCTGCTCCTGCAGAGTCCATTTCAGATTTTTGTGTAAGACGATACACGCTATTTAAACTGCAATGTCGTTCATGCAAATTCTGTCTAGGAAGTGTTCTGGTATTATGGTTTTTCATATCTGTTGTCAAGAAAACCGTACGTTCATTTTTTTCTATGCATATAGAATATATGTGCCGTTATATTTCTTTAGGAACTGCTTTATTTTATCCTGTTAAGTCGGATTATAGATCAACACCAACATAAAATATACAAAATAAAATACCACAAATAACTACTGTCCTCCTTATACATGACAAATATTCACACAATTTCTGAAATTTAAACCGATTAAAGTCTCTAAATTCACTTGGAATGAAAAAAAAAATCACTTTATGAAAAACAAACATTTGAATGAATTTCCATACATGTAATGAAATGAATAGAAAACAAATGATGTCTGTCCAAATGTGCGTTTTAAATAAATATCAATGGCTCAAAGGCGCTTAAGGGAAACGAGTTGTTATATTTTTTATTATTTAATCCAAGATAAATGACCTGACCAAAATGGATGGCATTTGCATCAAAACAGTCAAACTTGGTAAAATATGCATTTTAAAAAGCAAAAAACTTTGTTTATGTTATTAAAAAAGGATATTATTATAGTGTACATTATTTATTTTTTAATGCGTTTATCTTTCAGACTATGGTGGTTCATCAACAATGAAATACAGCACCTACAGCCCAAGCTTCAGCTCTAAATCCTCCTACATGTACTCAGGCTCTAAAACAATGGTGAGTACAGCAGCATTTAAAAGAACAACCATCAGCAGGGGTTGCTGTGTGTTTCAGATCATCTCACGCACAGCTGGACTGAACGCACTAGAGGGATAAACGTGTGTTGGTCACTTGTGTCCAGAATGATTGAGCATGTGTGATATTTCACAGTCAGCCATGATAATATCACCTCTGAGTTTTCCAGCCTGCTCTCTACATTCCTCTGCATTAGAGCCCCAGGAATTAGACAGTGACCATCTGTCAGGGATGTTTGAGCTGTGGGTGTGAGAGAGTATCCTGATGTGACTTTTTAAACATCCAAATGCTTCATGGGTTATAAAAGTTAAGACAACAAGCTCAGAGGATGCTGATGAAGATTCTCAGTCATCCAGGTCAGAGTCATTCCAAAAAAGATATAAAAGACAATCGACTGGACTTTGTTTCCAAGTTTGAAGACGTTTCTCTTCCATCCAGGAAGCTTTTTCAATTCAAAATGTCAGAAATAGCGTTGAGTTCCAGGTTTTATCCAGCAGCCCAACAAAGCATGGTTTTAGTTTAGAAACACTCTAAATTGAAACGGATGAATGAATTTAACGACCCCCCCTTTCAGAGACATAGACAGGTATGGGGCATTACAGGCTAACAAAGAACCAAAACGACCCCCATTCCAAAGGGGGGGACCCGTCATTCTGTTTCAACTTGCATGTTTTCTAAACAAGTCAGTTTATTTCTATAGCTCCAATTCACATCATGTCATCTCAGGTCACTTTCCAGTTCACCAGATCATCCAGTCAGATTGATTCAAAGTTTTCTATCTAAGGAAAACCAGCTGATTGCATCGACTCATTGACTCTTCAGCAATCCCTCACACTGAGCATGCTAGTAGCGACAGTGGAGAGGAAAAACTCCTTTTTAACAGGAAGAAACCTCCAGCAGAACCAGGCTCAGTGTGAGCGGCCATCTGCTCTGATTGAACTCTGATTGTTGAGCTGCTGGATAAAACCTTGATCTCAACACTATTTCTGACATTTTCAATCGTAAAAGCTTCCTGGATGGGAAACGAAATGTCTTCGAACTTGGAAACAAAGTCCAGTGGATTGTTTTTTTTATTTTTTTGGAAAGCTCAGAGGAGAAGATGTAATTTTTCCAGAAAACCCTTGCAGCCATATTTAGAAAACATTTCAATGAAATGAAACCACATAGAAAATATTCCGAGATGCCCTCACTCCAGCAGTCTCTCTGTGCTATAAGCTAACGAACACTTCTTCTTGTCTTTATGCCCAGGCTCCTCAGATTTCCCACAGGGCGGGATACAGCAGCAGGTCCGCAGCCCCAGAAGTTGTCGGGTTTCAGAAGATGAGTATAGGGGTTAGTGGTGGCGGTGGCGGAGGTTTTTACCGGGAAGACATGCGTTCTGGCGGCTTTCAGGCATCCATGAGACCACACCAAATGGAACATGATGCCATGTCTCTTCACTCGGTGAAAAACGTGCCTGCAGTGCGTTCATGGGTAATAGAGAGCGATGCTGGAAGCCTGCAATCTGATCAGGAAGCCACCTTCAGCCGCCAGGGCACAATGAATGGCTACAGCACCCAGATGAGGCAAGGAGGAGGCAATGTGGCCTATCAGAGCCAGTTTCAGGCCCAGGCACCAGCTGGTGTCTCAATGCTTCGAAGCCAAAGTGGCACTCTTACCCGTGGGGGTACTATGACAGGAGGAGGTTCTGAAATCCTCCAACAGCAATATTCCTTCAAAGGCCCGGCTCACCGCACCATCAGCAGGATTACAAACCGTAACCGGATGAGCGTTGGCTCGCTGTCTGGGACCCAGATGACCAATAGCGCAGGCAACTTGATGGGAGGACGAGATCAGGTGGACAGAGGGTTTATCGTGTCAACCCTCGGATCCGGATCCCAGGGAAATCTGTTGCAACGCCAAGGTAACCTGTCCCGATCCATGTCGATCAGAAGCATGCAGAGCGTTGGCAGAGGCATGGACGTTTTTGGCCAGATGGAAGACTTGGACCACCTGCAAGGGTGAGAATCTGTAAAACAATGTTTGACCTTAGCCTCTTTACATATAAAACGCTTCTTTCCTGCTCTAAAGTCCTTCAGATCATACAGTATAAAGTAAATCATGTCTGCTTTCGTACAGCCAACCTAAACTTCTATTCAGTGTATTTCTATAGCTCCAATTCCCATCATGTCATCTCAGGTCA